GTGTCTCGGACCGTGTCGCAATTTGGGGGTTCTCGCAACTCCGTGGCATTGTTTGGCAAGCAGCTTTGTACCAACAGTTAGTTTGGAGGGCGCAGGGTAAATGCCAAACAGATGATTGTATTTTTGGGGGTGGAGGTGCTGCAGTTGGTTTGTGGGTTGACTTCTTGAAACCTGCAACCGATTGCTTAACTTCCTCCGCAGAGCGAAGCTGGGCATGCCGCAGTTCCTGAGCGCGGAAGCACAGAGCCTCCTGCGAGCCCTCTTCAAAAGGAATCCAGCCAACAGATTAGGTGAGATGTTGCTCTGGTTTCTCAACACACCTGATGCCGTATCGGGGCCTCTCACGTCCTCGTGGGTCGGCAGCACGTTGGTACTCGTGCTCGGTCAGTGGGCTCGTTCCGTTACAGCCCCGTTCCCCGCGATACCCGGCTGTGTCGCGCACGCGGGAGTAGCCTTCACGTTGTCGGTGGTCCTGATTTAGTGCAACGCACTCCGTGGGTGCGTCTTTCAGGTTCTGGGCCAGATGGGGCGGAGGAGATCAAGCGCCATCCTTTCTACTCCACCATCGACTGGAACGTGAGTATCAGAAATATCAGAGGAAACTTCTTCACGGCTCGGTGCCAGCAACGCAGCTCTGCTGACCACGGCAATAGCACGGCCGTGATGCTGGCAGACTGACCGGCTACGGGAGAGCTGCCAGCCCCTGCTTCCACCTCTGCCAATAATCCTTCCTGAAACTGAAATTCCGTTCGTCATGCGAATAACTTTCATACCCGAGTTGCCTACGAGCTCGCGTCGGTTTGAGTTTACTCATCTCTCAGCAGTAAGGTGCAGCTTCAGCTGGGCTTTGGCACAACACGGATTGTCTTGCCCAAAGTGGGAAGGAATCGGGGAAACATTTCTGGGAAGGAAATACTTTTTTTTTGTACGGAGAAGCAGGTGATAACGGAACCAGCATTTCCCAGTTGCTTCTGGCCAACTGCCTGCTTTGCCCCATAATTTGGTTTCCTCCCTGGTTTCCCCTTCTTGGTTAAAGGATTTTGAAGATCAGTTTTCTCGTGCTTTCAAGGCACCCGGCAAGCTGCTGGACTGAACCTCCAGCAATGCCAGTAACACTTATTTCAATCTTTGCTTCAAGAAGCAATTTAAAAAGGCTGTTTGTGAGAGTGCTGCAATACAAACGTCCTTCTAGGACATCTCCTCTGGGTGTCCCTGGGGAGATACATGTCAGCAAAGCCCTAATGGGAGTTGGGGGAGGTGGAAGAGCCTGGCCAGGTAAATACTTTCTGGATACTGACTTCAGAGTGGGGCCCAGTTACCTATTTTTTTTTCCTTGATTTAATATATGGTAAAACTTGTAGCGTTTCTCCACAGACTGACTCAAAAGCATCCCACTGGCCAAGAAGGCTTCCCTCAGGCTGCTGAGCTGTAGTTAAACGCGAAGCCACAGAGCTGCTTCCAGTTTCACTCTATCTCTTCTTGCCCCCTCGTTCCCAGCGAGCCCTTTGCACCCTTCTGAGCGCGTACGAGAGCGCTGACCCATCGGAGCACTTTCGAGCTGCCTTTTGTTTTGCAGAAGCTGTACCGCAGGGAAATCAAGCCGCCCTTCAAGCCCGCCGTAGGCCAACCGGACGACACCTTTTACTTCGACACGGAATTTACATCGCGGACACCGAAAGGTTCGTGTGAATTCACGGAAAGCCAAAGTTTTCCCCTGTGAAATGATACTGTACGGCTTAATACGGGTGTGCCAGTGCCAGGAGGGTGAGGTTTGTCCCCCGCGAGTGCCCCCAACTCCGGGTGGCCGCAGCACCAAGGAGGTGACCCCAGGTTATAGATGTGTGGGGTGATACGGGGTACGATCAGCACTGCGTGATGCGGCTCTTGTCTCAAATAAACTAAAGAGCAGCGAGGGGGGGCCTCTCCTTCCGCAGTCTCAACGTCCTTCGCGTTGTCTCCCAACCCTTGTTGCAGATTCCCCAGGCGTCCCCCCG